TTTTATTTTTTTGACTAATTAAATAATATCTTAATTATCATTAAAAAAAAAATAATAATTTCTTATATATTTTTTATAGTTATTCCAAATCTAAATCTGATGAAAAATACATAATCAGATATTTTTAAGTGGAAAAGATTTAAAATTTGATTTGTGATTAGCTAAAAAAAAGCTTATTATGTAATTTAATAATTAAAGAGCAATATATATGAAAAATTATAGAGGGTCTTCTGAAATAGGGGTAATAGTAAAAGAAAATTTCTTCAGAGTGGATAGACTCTTACAAATTTAATAACTCTTTACATCTTTTATTTTAATCATATGTCTATGTGATAACTTTTTCGAGAATTGTAATTATATTAAGTTAATTATATTAAGTTTCCATCTTATATTTCTAGAATCAATAAAATCCTGACAATTTTTGTTTGCAATATCCTTTTCATAAATAATAAGGCCTATTTATTTTATTATTAATTTAATAACAGCTATGCCAATTATATCACAAGAAATTGTTTTACTTTAAGAAAAAGTAGAGGGCAAATTGTTTAAATGATTTAGAAAGAGTAAACCATATTTTAGATTTCTATTTGGAACAAATAAAAATTAAGTTATAACTTTAAATCTCGCGATGTTGCATCAATACTCTAATACTATTCAAGTTATTGGGGATAATGTAAAGCATTATGTAAAGATTAAATTTTAGGGATGATTAAATAAGTTGAAAGACTAAACTAGAAAATTGCAATCTATAAATTATTCATCAACTCAACTTGATTATATATTTAGAAATTTAATGTAGAACACTACATATAGCTAGAAGGTTATTCCAATTTCTAACATAAAATCATTACTTATTTTACATTGATGATATTCAATTTAATAATGAGGATAATAATAAAAATTTCATTATTCTTAATACTAAATACTTACAAAATTTTGAAAATTCACATGTTAATGTTTTTGACGATCTTTTTAATTAAATTTTGCGGGAACTCCCTACTGAATTAGTTATTATTCGAAAATCCTTAATATAATTTCTGATTTCTACCAACTAATTAATTAATAGACAAGTAAATGCTTTTTGATTCAGAAGATTTCTTCAATTTATCGATTAGGATATCAAATAAAAAAATATTTTCCTAATCATTAATAATGTAAATGTGACGTACTATTTAAATAAAATTTGTACACTCACTTGATTTAATTTAATGTGTGACCTTCCACGTTCATGTTCATTTACAAAGAAGTCTTAATAGGATATACAATTCTAAATGGATGCTAATAGTTAAATAATTGTAATAGTTATTAAAACAAAGAGCAATGATAAATTAAAATAAATCTATTGATTAATAATCAATGTAAAATATACTATTAAGGAATATTCTACAGCATAATTAAATGAATATTCAGCAAATAGTTGTCAATTGTATTTTGGTGATTCATATACAGTAAATCAATAATAAAATGGGTCTGAGATTGGTTAATCATTGTGTAAGATGTACACATATAATCAATGTACAAGTAATGTATGTAAGAATTTAAATGGGAAACTGTGTTTTTTTGACAGAGTAATTAAAGATAAAAGATATATAACAAGATAAGATAGATATTATATCTATAACACAACAAATAGTGAGTTTGTCCCAAAAAATCGTTTTAGAGTTTTATTAGGAAAAAATTAAATTTTACAATAGAAGAAATATTTATTAGCATTATATAAATTATTTATAAAGGAAACATTTAAAAATCAATATGCATGACATTTTTAAATTGAAGATTACTAAATTTTTTAAAAACCAACAAACATTTATTAATTCTCCTATTTTTCAAATATTATAATGTATAGTATGAGGAGTTGATAGATCTTTCTTATTATTTTCATTCAACATACATATATTGCCCAAGTGGTACCCAAAAGAAAAAATCCTAATAATAATTCCTAATTAGAATTAAATAGATATTCAATAAAAGGAATAATTATAATCTGAATGATAGTAAGAATTGAAATAGGAATTAATACTTTTTCGGTATTGCTTTTTTTATCCAAAAATTTCTCCCTAGAAATATAGTATGCTCTGCTTTGCCACATAATCCTAAATCGTATTACCTAAAATTGATGAATATTTATAAATATCTGTTGCTATTTAAAAATAAAGGGCATTTTAAATAATATAAAATATTTTAGTTCTCATATGAAATGCTAATTTTCTCATGCTTCATAACTTTTATATTTATTTCTGGATGTAATCCTTATTTTTATATCCTTTTTCTTATGCATCCAAATAAAATTGCTTAGCTTCTGATTTTTTACCTAATTCAAATAGAGAATCAGCTAAATATTAAATAAGACTTATTTATTTTTAGTTTTAATGTTAGAGGAGTAATTTTTATAGAAAGAGCTTAATCATAGAATGAAATTGCGTATGAATATTTCTTTAAATTGTGTAGTGCCACACCTGAATTATAATAGAATTTACCTTTATTGTATAAAGCTATTTCATATTTAGGATTGATAGCAATGGTCATAACATTCGATTGCTTAATTGCTTCTTAGTATTTATTCAAATTGTTTAATGCAGATCCTAAATAATAATTTTTAACAATTAATTACCCTTATTATACCAGACATTAGAATTTTAAGCAGTAATAGCAACAGATTTATCTAAATGTTCAATTGCTTATTTCAATTTATACTTATTATATAATGCAACGCCTAAATTACAATTACATTAATTATACCTTCTTTATTTAATCTTTCAGATAGTTAAATATTCTATACCTTTTAGTCTTCACTTAGAGTATTTATTTCGTATATTTTTATAACCTTTTAATTACCCGAATTTAATTGAATCTGTTACAATATTCTTAATTGTATCTAAGTATATTATATAATTATATTATTATAAATTATTTTAAATAAATTACATTATTTGTTTTTCTATTATAATTAATTTACTAGATACATATTGAATTTTCTTTTGAGTAAATTTTTTTGATAATGCTGATTTATGAGTTAAAAGTCAAATAATCTTTGCTTTTGCTTTAAAGTTGTTGCGTCATCTTTTCTAATTTTTCAATTCCCTGTCAATTATTTAAAATAATTTTAAATTTTTTATGACATTTCTTTTAATTATTTCTTTATTGATTATAAACTTTTTTGAATTCATTCATAAATTAGCTAAGTTTAGCAAATCGAATACATTCTTCTAATGATCTGAATGAAGAGTAGTTAAACATTCATAACAATATTGTGTTGCCGTTTAACAGTCCTGATTTAAGCAAAATCCCATTATTCCTTCGTCTTCATGCGTCACGTATTGACAATTAAAGATATCCATTAAATCTAAAAAATTAAAAATAATATTAATAATTAATTAAATATCTTTAGACTTAAATATCATTTATTTTTTAAGTAATCATTATAATTTATATTATGATTAATTAATAAATCAAACTATTCTAATTAATGAGTATAAAACATAAATTAAATAGTAATATAATTGAATTGAAATGAGTCATTCAATCAAATTTAATTATGACTGGAATCTTTATTTTATTTCTAATTTTGATAATCTTGTTATCAGGAACTTATTTAATTTGCTTAAAATAGATGGAATATTTTATATCAATTAATTTTTAATTATTCTCTTAATTATGATGGTATTTTAGTGTTAGTTGGAGTGATAGCTAGTTTAAACTGCTATAAAGAAAACTTAATCCTATAAAAAGTGTTAAGTATTTGTAATTTATTAGTGACTGAACTCTCTTGTGGATTATGTTTTTCATTAAGTGAAAATACTAAAATAATTTTACATTCATTTAACGAAACAATAAATTTTGTTCTACCTTTGCAAATGTTAATCTTAATTGGTAGCTCAAATTTTTTGACTATCAAAATTAACGAAAACTTAAGAAATCAAGATAAAAAATATAATCTAATGATAGAATTATAAATAAATATATTAAAATCCCAAATTTTTGGGATTTTAGTGAAAATCGAAAATACATTGAAATCCAAAAAACTCATGATTTTGATATAAATGTTGATAACACCAGAATCCCAAAATTTGGGCTTAAGTTCAATTGATACATATATGAAAATCCCAAATTTAGCGGATTATAGTTTAATTTTATATAAGTTGGAAAATACAAAACTTGCTTATTAGAGTATTAGAGTAATAAAAATTAATAATACTGATTGTTGATTATATATAGTACATCTATATTTAAATTAATATTATTTTAAGCTCCTTTGGATGTAATATTTATATGATCTTATAGATTTTATTGGAAATAATTATTGGATTTGTTTGAACATGTTTTTCAGTGTTATTTTGAAAAAAAAATTTGCTAATATTCATCAATTTCCTCATAAGAAAACAGATAGTTTTAATTTACTAATATAGTTATAATTAGGCATTCGAAAGACCTAATTTTAGAAGTCAATTATATTTAAATGTTGGATGATCTTTCAATATAAAATAATCTTATTTTTCTTTATAGAGCCACTGCAATTATTTCTAAAAATCATACTTTTCCTCTTTTTACATTTAATTATCAAAAATTGACATCCTTGAGAATCCTACTCCAATCACACTGCTTCCATAAATGAAAATTGAAAATGAACTGCATATTCCTAGATAGATAAAACCGCGGTCTTAGCTAGCTCTAACATAACAGCAAAATAAGATTAGAACAAACAATTATGTAATCACACTTTTTATTATAAATACATCTTGCTATCAATAACAATTTGTCTAAAAACAAAGCAGGACAAGACTAATAAATCAAAACAGCAATCATCAAGGTAATACCAGTAGAACAATATTTGGACAATTTAGTCACATTGAACTTCTCAAAGGCAAATACAAACTATAAATCTTACAAATTTATTGTTCTTCTTCAAATAAATTTATAATAATACGCACTATTCATTTTAGATTAATTATATAACAAATTTCTTGTTTAAAAATGATTTGATATTAATTGCTTTATACTCAGAAATTTTTGCACTCTACACGATTAAATTGCCATATTCATTGATAACTCATAATCCAATCCAGAATTAAGATTTTTTTGCTTAAAATGAGTTGAAAAACAAAAGAGCCTTATGAGCGTAGAAGACTTTCGGTAATAATTAATATTAGGATAAACAAAGTATATTGAAGACCAACATAATTTGTCTAACGAAAATATTGAATTGTTGGAAAGTATGAAATAGAATTTTTTATCTTTGAAGACTTAAATTTAAAAATCTATTGACATATATTTGGAATGCTTTCAATAATAAATATAAACGATCTAAGACGAATAAACAAAATTAAACAATTACTTGAAGGTTTGTAGACATAAGATATAGATTCATTCGTAAAATAATTTGGAGATATTAACAAATAAAATTTAGATTAGAAAGGAATTTTAGAAAACCTTTTAAAAAACATCATAATTGTTTCTAAAGATCAATTTATTGACAAAGTTCGAGAAATAATAGTTAAAATTTAAAATGGTCTTAAGACTTATTCTTATGATATAATTGAGAAAAACTCCTATCATTTTTAATAATTCTATCTTCCTTAAAGAGATAAGCAGCCTTCAAATTGTTAGGAGCATTTAAATTAATAAATAAAGTAATTAGACCTACAGGAATAATCAAATAAGCCAGATAGAGTGGCATGTCTAAATTGTATAAAAGATTATCCAGCTAAATATGAAACTTTAGAAAATGCTGAAAAAAAATGGATCTAATGGCTATCTTAAAAATAAAATAATTGTAATAATTATGTAAAAAAAACGCTGGATAAAGTTTTAGAATTAACTAATTTTCTGGAAGAATGGAAACTAAAGATGATTCAATTAGTTTAATCAATATTAATTAAAATCAATACAAAAGCTAGTCAATAAATTAAATAAATTAAAGATTCTTTTTAAAGTCCAAAAAATGTAAAAGTTAATGAGGTCAGTGTTTAGGATTTAATTAAAATAGCAAAAGACATTAGCAATCCATAAACATAACAATTATTTTTAGAAAAATTATAAACAGAATATAATAAATGGAATGAAGAGAACGATTAATTGTTGAAAGAGATAATCAATTAAAATACTTGGATGATCAATTAAAATAAAAGGATAAACAAATTAAATGATTTGAGAAACCTCTCAGTTTATACTAGTTCGAAATATTAATATTATTTGCGTTTTAATTAAAAAAAAAATATTTATTTAAGTTTTAGAAAAAGAATTTAAACAAAATAATTCCACTATTTAAATTTTAATGATTTATATTTCTATTTAATTATTTTCAAATCAAATTAAAAATGAATTAAATGTAAATTGAGTAATTTTTTTGAGATTTAGTTACAATTCATCATTAATGTAAATTCTATGATATAAACTCTCAAATTATATTATCTCATTCAACTCAAAATTTAGAGATTCCTTTAAGGTTCTGTTTTTCTGGGAATAATCCTTTTTCGATATCCCAACTTTAATAATTTTATTATTTTCAATTATTCTTGATCTAATTTGTAGATTTTTTTCGAGCATTTGACCAAATATTATTGCCAAATATATATTTATATGGTGGATTAAAAAATAATTATAGTATTAAATTTCTTATTTTAATATTAGTCTTAAAATTACTGCAATTAAAATATTCAAAATTTTTAAAGATGGATTCGTTCCTTTTTATTCCATTCCTTTCTTAAAGAACTGAAATCAAGAGAATACTATTAACCCTTGTTGTGAGATGATTGTATAAAATGACTTGAAAATAGCAAAATTAAATTACTGTTTCGAAATATATTACCTTATTACTTGCTGATATCAATTATCTTGCAATTTGAATTAGTATGAAATTATTTAGAATACTAAGTTATCAATATAGAGGAAGGGTTTCTAAATGATTGGAAGAATGAGTAGATGTTATGAAAAAATAAGATTATCAAGCTGATTTGATTCATTAAAAGAAAGATAAGAGGTGATGAACTGAAACGTTACAGTTTAATACATAAATTCCAACACTGTGATGGAGAAAGTTCAAAATGAATAAATGGGGAAAATATAAAATTTTGGTAGCAAAATTGAATATTAAGAATTCAAGAATTATGAACAATTCCAAACAAATGATAATAAATATAATTTTGATTTTAATTGATTATTGTTTACCAATAAAAATAAAGAAACTAATTCTTATAATAATCATGAATGCAATTTCTCTATTTTGCATTTTCAGTTTCTTTCTCATAATTACATTTTGCCTATTATTTTCTATCATATGTGTGAACTACACTCTGATGAAAACTTCTAATCATTAAAAAATCAGAGTAGGAAATTCTTATGAGGGAAAAGGAAAAGAATAAAGGAGAGAATGATTTCAAAACAAAGTCAATCAAAAACTTAAAATTTAATTATTCATCATTCCCCTATTTTTGTTTCTTAAATATATCTAACTATCACTTTATTTTTACCTTTCACCTCAAAACTCATATACTTTAAATTATACTCCTTTTATTTAAGAGGTAATTTTTATGCTGCAAAAATGATGAAACAGTTTCGCCTGTGATTTTTGCTCTTTAATACTTCTTATTTATCAACAATTTTGCAAACTTCCTTATAATAATTTACAAATTTTTCTACTTTAACTGCCATCTTTTGGAATCATAAATATGATAAGAATATTAATTTTTATTATTATGATTTCAAAAGATTCTATAAACTAAATAAACCCTTTTATAAAATTAGCCTATTAGAGGATTACATGTTTCCATGTAGAAGTAATAGCTAACTTTAAGTCATAAAATAAAGTTGTGAATAATCTTGTGAAAAAAGCTAACTTCAACTGGTTGCATCGATTGATGTAAAATTTTAATCTGTCAAAAATAAAAAGAGAATTTTAAGGGAAACAAATTGTAAAATGTTGTCTTATGGAAGAAATAAAAATGATTACTCATGAATTAAATAACTTTACTGCGTAATTTGAAAATTCCTGATTTTTATAAAATCTCCTCTCATCTCATTTGAAACAATTTTAAGACTTTTCCCTGATATTCAGAAGCAATCTTGGATATTGCTGTATTAATATTGAATTGAAACTTGAATACTGTTTACTTTGGATTATTTAAAAATTGCTATTGTTAAAATTATATAAAATATCAATGGCTTTTCTATAAATATCATTTTTTTTTTACTTTATAAAATATATTCTTTTAATATATAATCCTGGAAATAAAGAATAAGAATGAGATGAAGTATAAAACCTACATTACTTCGAGATGATTTTTGGATTAAAATTTTTTATGTTTTATAAGAGAAAAGTAAATAAAGTATTAAAGGATGTATAAAAATTTTTGAAGGTAGGAAAAATGGATTAAATGGATAATCATTTTGGTAGGTAGCCAATGATAAATCCAATTTGCTTATGATATTTTAATCAAAAAGTAATTGTATCTTTGGAGCATATTCTCCCTGCAGATGGCAATCTAATAAAAAAGTTTATATAGCAGATGATACATTAGCATCTTTTATATTTTCTTAAACTCATGATAAACTTTATCATTTGAAATAGGATTAAAAATAATATGCTATATATCCTAGTATAAATTTTGGACCTACTTTTGGAGGAGGTCATGATATTGAAATAAAGCCTGATTTTAGTGATGGTTATTCGTAATTAGGTCATTCAATTAATTTGATTAATATAAGGGTAAAGATTCGAATCCTTATTTGTTTGGATAAGTAAGGCCAGAAATAAAAGAATGTGAAATTTATTAATTATACTTTATTTGAATTTGAAATTTTTGTTTATGATTAAAAAGCTATAAAAAGAAGAGTTTACAAAGTTTTTTTGTAATGTAAGGGTAATCAGGAAGAATATTTTGTTGTTTAGTTATTCAACCAGTGTAATGGTCCATCTATATATCCGCAACAACTATAAAATAATAAGCTAATTATAAAAATAATTGAAATAAACAGGAAGCTACATCAATATATTTATCATTTACTCAAGAATAGTTTCTTCTTCTTAAATATTTAAGTTATATTGATTTAACAATTTTTATTAATCAAAAATATATTATTGCAATATCCTCAATAAAATGTAGAATTTCATTTCCTATCCAATTTAAATGATTAAATAAATTTGAGTATTTACTACTTTGTGGTTAATAAGCTGAGGTCTATTAATATTTCCTTTTTCAAAAAGGAGAGTTAGAATTTATTTATACATTACTAAAAATAAGTGTGCACTTCTAAAATTAACCATAACAGTTCTTACTTGTTTTTTATGGATAATCAATTATTCTCATAAAAATTTTGACCATTTTAGTCTACTATTTTTTGCCTTACCTTCAACTGGAACAATTGAATCTAAATCATTATTTAATCAAATTCACTATAACTACCTTATGATGGATGCTATTAATGGCAATTCAATATGGTTATCTTGAATGCCACTAAGGATAGGGTTGTAAAAAGTGTGATAATTAATTTATCTTAATTAATGAAACAGCCATGTCTTAATAGAATAAAGTCTTAATTGATGAGAAAGAAGATATAAATGAAGAAGTAATTATTATTCAATTATTAAAAATTAATTTGATTAGATTTGGTTAGATCTAAATCCGTTTTGGAATCCTTTTATAATTAATGAAACTACCATATAAAAGGTGACATAAAATTATGCTTCTTTAAGATATTATGATTTACTCCATGATTGGTATATCAGGATTATCATTACTCACAGGTTTATTAGATCTATTATAATCATTGTCCTATATTAAATTTATATAGTATTCATTTCCACCTCATCTGATGTAATTCTTGAATACTTATACTAAAGTATCAGACCAGTATTAAGACATTTTTAAATAGAAGAATTATTTAAATCTTTAAATGATGGAAGTTTATTATTCAAAAGTACAAGATAATCAACTTAAATTTAAGCAAACCCATTTAATTAGTTTTATCTACTAAATGCTTAAGGTTATAACTTTTTTATTTTATGCTCATTAACAGCTTATTTTATTTCCATCTTACTGTCCTCTAATAAAGTTTTATTCTTTAAGAATTTTATTTGTAAAATTCAAAAATAATTATACATAGCATATAATGCATTTTACTTTACAAAAGTCTAAAAGCTTTTTATGAAATTTAGAAATTAATACTTCTCTTTCGGTATATTCTAGATTAATTATTTTTTAGTGTATTATTGTAATATCCTGATTATAGCTTCAATTCTCCACTTATGATATTAAATAGCGTGAATGCTATTATTGGACTTGTGTTAATAACATATTTTAGTTTATAAATGCTTTCCATAACATCATCCAAAATAAAAGACAAACTAAAATGGAAATACTTTTATCAACATTCATTACCTCATTTTTGGACTGTAAATTATAAGTCATTTTAAATATACAAAATTATGATTTATATATTTCTAATCTCGAAGCTATAAACTATCCAGAAATATAATAAATATTACTTTCAATGTCATCAGTTTTCTATTTAGGTTACTTATTAAATTTAAACCTATAATCCATTAATGAATTTACCAAACTAATATTAAGAGAAATTTAAATTGCTCTTAACAGGGTCATTGTTTTGATATTGAATAAAATTATTTATTATTAGTAGGGTGGATTTAAATCAGCTATTTTTCTTTTTAATGTTGGTCTCAAATTTAAGTGTCGATTTAATTGAATGTATCAAAAATGCATGGATGAAAAAAAATAAAAGCATTTGATTCAAACAAATACTTGTCATTAGTAATTTATTCCAGAATATGATCATAGATATTTGAATCCAATAAAAATTTTACTGAATAAAAAATTTGATGTATATTATTATGTGTGATGCAATTATAGTAAATGTTTTAAGTATTTTTGGAACTGAAAAAATCATGGATTTCCTTCCTGTATTTTTCATTTTTAATTTATTTTCCCAAAATATTAGATGTTCAATCTTAAGAAATTAGATGAAAATCTAATTCATATTTCCTTTGATATATTCTAACTTTCGAAAAGAGGAGATAAAGGATTGGGAGACATTTTTATTGCATCTCTTTCATTCTAAAGATTTAAATTCTCTTAATAATTTTATAAAATGGATCAAGATAGTTAAGTAATGTGCTGGTCATTAAATATAGATTTATATTTTGTGCAATAGAGTTTCATAGAGAGGAAAATAGAAAAAATAAAATACCTAACGCAAAAGCAGCAAATTACATTTTCATAGTTGAAAAGTAAATCCACCTCCCATTCTTATAACCTTCTTTCTCATTATATGATCCACCACTACTAGCTAAATTTAGATTAAAATATTATTACATATATTTTCTATTATTGCTTGATTTCAATTTATTCATTTTTTATGCCAATAAGTCATCCTCTACTATTTGCCTACTTTTTTCCATTCAAATAATACATAGTTGTAAATGATTTAATAAATGTCTTAAAATCCAACTTTCTCCATTGAACTTAGAATTCTCCATAATAAGTGATTTAGCAATCAATATCAAATACTTCTATCCTTTTAGCAGCTTTATTATGCAAAATAATTAAGATTTGATAAAATCTTAAAATTATGAGAAGTTAGAAAATTTTTAATAAAGCAAGCTTTTAATGAATTTATTCATTAGTTAATAGTTATTATTTTTAATAGAAATACATATTTTTATATGCTAAATTTAAATTATGAATCTGAAGAGATATATACTTTTAACAACATTGATCACATTTTAAAAGTAATTGAATTTGATGATTTGGGAATAAAAAATTTAAATATCCAGAAAAAAACAATTACATATAATATAAATCATTAAAGATGTATTAGATTATCAGATTTGTTATTTTGGATTGTAATTAATGAATCATAATTTATTATTAGGAAAAAGACTTAGTTAGAATTCATTTAGGGTAGTTACTAGTTTTAGTCCTTAAATTATTAAAAAAAGTTTTGTTTTTAGAATCTAAAGAAATTGAACATAATTATCTTGATTAAAATAGAATCTGGCTCGGATTAGATTAAACTAGTTCTATTCCTAGTCTTATTTACCAATTTCTATTATATGAAATACATTTCACAGAATATTAATGCCCATTTTATGTAAAAACTTCAAGAGAATTTAAATAACTACTTAAATTAAAACTATTGTCAAGCTGATTTTAGAAAAATGTATTGACAATATACGTTTAAAAAAAAAATTGACTCAATAAAACAAAAAAGATATCTTACAACCTATAATTGATAAATGCAAGGATAATTCAAACATTTCTGAAATTATGAAAACTATTTAAGATATACTATAAAAATATAATTATTAAGAGAGTATTAAGAATAAGATTTTTTAAGCTTTGGATATTGATGATGATCATACTGATTTAGAGAGAAATAAATTAATCTAATAAGTTAATATCTAAATAAATTAAATTATTTAACATGGAAAGTAAGATGGATAATTGTTGATTGAGACCCTATTGCATTATTTTATTCCAATTATAAGTAAACAGTTAGGTTAAAATTCAAAAGGAAATTTAGATTATAAAACTTATGCCTAACAGAAAAGAAATATTTTAGCTGAACAAGAGTAGTATTAAAAAAGAATATTTAACAATAAGTTAAACTTTAAATACCAAAGTCCCTAAATGAATATGAAAAGGATTTTAAGTTTGAAATTACTTAATAAGATTTAAATTAAATAGAAGACGAAATTATTAGTTCAATTTTTTGCTCTTAATATGTTAAATACTTTAATAATACATTTTGGATTTATTATAAAAATGAGGAATTAGCTCAACACAAGATCTCAGTTGTAAGCAAAATTATTGTTGATGAGGTTAAAGAT